AGAGAGAGAGAGAGAGAGAGAGGATATGTATAATTAAGGTGACCAGACGTCCCTAGCGAGGCCGCGGGCTGGCAGTAACCGCCGCGGCCTAGCTCCCCCCTCCCCCCCGGTCAATGGTGTCCCTCTTTACCAATCTGAAAATCTGGTCACCTTAAATTACTTACAACAAGGCCAAAAAACTTGAGCCTCCATCTGCAAAAGCACCTTTCAGATAAATTTCATTGACAGCATATTCCACAGAAGGTGGGTCGAAGGGAACTAGCTGCAAATAACAAAGGGGGGTTTCAGTTAAATCTCGAAGGTGCCAAGTAAATACAAGTCTATATTAACTATTTTCCTGCATACTATTTGTCCACTCCATATGGCTTTCTCTGTACAGGCAGACACACACACACACACATACACACACACACACACACACACACACAGGGCTCCTCGTTGTGGTTGTTAGTGCTATTCACCTGATCTTCAGCTGACAAAAAGTGCCAGCTGGCTGATCTGTCTTCCTAGCCTGCTATTGGAAGGATGTCACCAAATGCTGATCTCCAATTAAGAGCAAATTAAGGAAAGGGATTGGATGTTTTCCTCTGTCAGCCACCCAAAAGCTGGCAAGGAAGCATCCACCAGTTACTCTTCATAACTGACTTGGATTTGGACCAGAGAAAAGCAAAGTATTTTTAAAAAATAGACCAGAGGATGTAATCAACTGTTAGAAGTTGCTCCAGGATTTTTCCAAACTCTGGCAACTGATTACAAGGCTGTGAGGAGTGTCAAGAGGAGGAGGGGAAAAAAGGGTATGCTGAGACACTAGAAGAAGAGAACTGTGTACAGTCCCAGAGAGAGGATTCCCAAGATAGTCAGAACTGGCAGATCAAATCTCCCTTCTTTTCCCACCCCATTTAGTTGGGATGGAGGGAGATGGCTCTTTACCCATCAGGTTTCTTAGCCCCTAATTATCTCATCCTGAGAGCTGATTCTACAGGTCTCCAGGGCTTGAAGGGAAGGGCAGGAGATATAGGGCACCTAAACTACCAGCACTTGTCTGAAAATCAGCTGAGTGGCTGTAGAGGGGATATTACACAATGATATGCATGATATCCCACTTTAGCACCTGGTTCCATTGGCAGCTTTTTTTCCATTTTTAAATATGGGCTTTTGATGTTTTAACTGCTTTTGAACATGGTTGTTCTGCTAATTCAGAAGAGCACTAAGCCTATGTTTAAAAGCAACCCATTAAGAGTGGATAGGTGTGGATTTGCTTGCTCCTATGGGAAAGCTCCCTCCCCAATCACTTTTCAACTGCCCCTTTCCCACATGAACATCAAGCTTTTCTAAAACAAGGGTTTAGTGCTCTTATAAAATAGCAATAAATCCCTGGTCAACATCAGCCTGCACAACTGCACCATGGAAGCCTATCAGCCCCACTACACAGTTGCTATTCATAGTTAATTAGTAAGAGGCCACTTTTGGCCCAGCCAAATGAATGTTCAGGAGAGCACATCATTCTGCACAAAAACTAAGATGTCTGGTTTATTGGGTGCTTAAGGGGCCAATTTAAGTTGAATGTGACATTACTGTGACTCAGTTGATAAAATGAAGACAGCATCACCAGGATACAGTAGAAAAAGGGGGCCACAGAATCATGTTTACACTGTAGCTAGGTGGTTGTAACATCCCAAGCCATATTGCCTTCCAATTTGTTCCCCTTCTATATTTTATTTTTTTCTTTATTTATCAAACATCACTAAGGAGCATATGCCTTTCTCTTAGCTTTGCCAAAAGCCACCTCTCCATATAGAAGCTCTCTGACTATTCTGTATCAAACTATTTTACATGCATATAAGTTGTCTAGTAAATAGTAGTAGCAAAGATACACACTGAATGGCCAGCTTCCTGAAGAAGCTTCCTGGTTTTATGCACAGCCCTTCTCATGCATGGTGGAAGCAAGAAATAGTCATCTGTGTCATAATACCCAATCCGTAGAGGTGTAGAGCTTGAATAAATCTAGAAGGAAAAAAAAACCTCTTGGTTACTAACATTAATGGATTAAGAGCTACAGCATGAACTCTGTGGTGGCACTTTTGTTAACCACATTATTGTGATTGTCATTGTTGTGATTGGAACTTGGCATGTAGAAGCTCACAGAGTTGTAAGCTCTGGTTTGGGTGGTAGGGTACTTAGAACAATGGACGAGACTTTTAAATATATTTCAGCAAATTAACAGGAATTGACCATGACGATAATTCTCAGGTGGCACTACATTCTTCTTAAATTTAAGTGAAATAATTTTAATCTAATTAAATATAATGTAATTTTAATGTAATTTTAATATGTGATTTTTCTGGAAGGTGTTGACAGGGTGATAAGCAAGTTGGCACATATTACTAGCTTTGATGATAGTGCGCAATTAGCTGTACTTTTCATTGAAACTTTCTGAAGAAATTTAAAAATCTCACAATCTTTACAATGAAGCCTGCCGTGAGTTAACCTTTCAGTAATATACATAAGTAGATGCAATATTAACAAATTGATTTGATGTCTTTCATTAGTTGCCAGCTTTGTTACTGTGAAATGTTTAAAAATCAAGCACCTCTTTGACATTCCTAGTGGAAGAAATGGCTCCAATTGAAAGTACGATAAAGGAGGACTTTCTCAAACTGGTGACTATTTATTAACTATGTTAATAATGTTTTCCCCAGGACAAGTTAAATAGATTTGTCCTTTACTCACATGTATGTGTGTAGATATATATATATTCCCAAAATTGTTCTTTTTTATTTTCCATTTGGTTNACTGGTAAAACCTCTGAAAAGATAAGCCTACAACCTACACTACTAAGTTCATACCCCAAGCTCTGGAAATCACTCAAGCGGGGGTTGGATTGTAGTTCATACTCCATTTCTATTGCTTGGGTATACATTCCCAGCCATCCCCAGAAATAAGAGTACCCAGAGGAAATGAACATGTGATGATACTCCTGTAGCAAACTGAAAAACCCAATGAAAGACTGTATAGTTTAGGATTATTTCGATGGATAGCATCAGATATAGTTTAGGATTAATAAAATGGGCAGCATCGATAGTGAGATGGGAAACATATACATATACACTGAGTCTCTCCCATTCCTCTGTAGTCATAGTTATATTTATGTTGAACTGTTTTTGAACTGATTTTATTGTATACTGCACAGAATCACCTTTGTGAAGATGAGTGGCTATGTATATTTGATAAATAGAATTATTGCCTTTGAGTATCTAGATAGGAACAGTGGGCTTTTCAGCCACTGCATGACAAAAGAGAGAAACCATGGCAAAATGCACATGTGGAACCACTCTTAATCTGAAATGGGGAGAAAAATCAAGAAGCATTCTGACCACTTCGAGACAAAGCCATTGGCAGTTTAAAAACAATAGTGGGCTGTTACCGTGTGTTTAGCAGCTCAATCTCCGTGCTCTTCTCCTTCTCATATTTGCTGTAGGCTTCTCTGTGCCTCTTGATCTCTTCTTCCAGGGTCTGCTGAGCTGAAGTCTCCTGGTCTTTCAGCAGTTCTTCTAACTCATGCACTCTGGTGTAATTGAAGCCACATAGATTTCATTCAGTTTGGTAGCAACATATCTGAATTATGTTAGCTATCCACCGGATTCAGCATTTCCTACAAAGGTGGTTTTCTTTTTATATGGCCTTCTCCAGTCTGCTGTCCCAGAGACAGTCCCTTGCTGAGTGCATTTATGATACTCCATTTATTAACATTTCTGCAAATAATGTGTCACGTCCTCCCATTCCCAAGCCTCTAAAACAACAGTCCAAAAACATTTAGTTCTATCTCTTCTGGTGACATCATTACATCACTTGAGACCTCTTGCAAGGCTCTAGAAGTCCCCCAGTTCTAAATTGTCCCACTCCCCCAATGTAAAACACTGACCTGATATAATGTTTGACACATTAAACTACTGACTATATTTAGAAAATATCCTTCTCTTTTTTGGATGGAAAAAATAAAATAATGCTTCTTTTGTCCACCACAATTCATATTCACTTTACCAAGAGCACCTTGCTCTGTTAATCCAGAGGGCCAAAGAAAACATTATTGAAGGAGACTTTCTCACCAGTTTATAGGTAGTCCTTGATTTACAACAATTCGTTTAGTGACTGCTCAAAGTTACAACGGCATTGAAAAAGTGATTTATGACTGTTTTTATATGTTTGATTGTTGCACAGCGTCACTGCGGTCACATGATCAAAATTGAGGCACTTGGCAACTGATCCATATTTATGATGTTTTCATTATCCCGGGGTCACATGATCATCTTTTGCAACCTTCTACAAGCAAAGTCAATGGGGAAGCCAGGTGCACTTAATAACCAAGTTACTAACTTCACTGCAGTGATTCACAACAACTGTGGCAAATAAGGTTCTAAAATAGGGCAAAATTCACTTAGCTGTCTCGCTTAACAACAGAAATGTTGGGCTCAACTGCAGTTGTATGTAAACGACTACCTGTATAACATTGCCCTGTTTTCAAGCAATTCCCATTCAAGTCAGAAACTTCTTCATTTTCGAAAGCAGATGGGAAATAAGTTAAGAATGAAGAATTCTAATGAGAGCTCCCCGTTTCTGCAAACTTGCAAAAGGACGGAGTAGGTAGCAGATTAAATTACCTGTGAACTAGCTGTGTATTCTCCTGCTTCAATTTGCTCTTCAGGTCCCCATTTGTTACGGTATCATTTTCCAGCTCTGACACTTTTTTTTCTAAGTAAGTCACCTACAAAAGAAAATAGAATGTAAGCTGACTAAGCCCCTGGGAAATTGAGTAGAGGAGAATGAAGTCAGAATGGATCTTATCCATTCCTTTACTATCAAACTATCTTTCTAGACGAACTGCCTAATTCTTCCATTCTCCTGTCTTTGATCTAATTAAATCACTTATCAGTTTTCATATAAATTAAGCCTAGATTTTACAAGTACAGACTTCCCAGACTTCCTCACCAGATAATTCAATGATTCAAATATCTGCTGCTGCAGCTGCAGATCTCAGAATTTTTGTATTGATCTAGGTCAGTGCTAGCAAACCTTTTTTGGCATGGCGTGTCAAACATCTGGAAAAAGCCTTCATTCTTCCTCTTTTGTACATCAACCAATTCCTCAGTGTTGTTTTTTCTTCAGTGGGAATGAAGAAACAGCTTACCTTTTCGGTGATATCATTGTCACACGAATCTATGCTGTCTCTGAATAAGTCTTCTGTGCTGCCATTACTACTGCTGAAGTTGCTGTTGTGGAAAAGCTGCCTGTAAAGACAAGAAAAGATTAAAACTCTTTGGAAAGCACCTGTTGGAAAAGGGATTTCAGAACACGGTTTCACTGGGATTTCTGTATTTGGTGGGATGGGGTAGCCTGAATGGCCTTTTCAACTCTGTAATTTGGGGGAGGGGGGAGCTTCCAGTGTTGACAAACACATGGAGAAAATGCAAATATATCCAATGCAAATATTTAATATTAAATATTAACAGGGGTGGGCTTCAAAAATTTCAGCAATGGGTTCTCTGCCTAGTTGCTGGGTGGGCGTGGTCTAGTCAGCCTCCTGCACCACGGCAGGGTGGCTTCGCCTTCCCCAGGCTCTGGAGGTTTTTATCAAGCCTCTGGGAGGGTGAAAACTGCTTCCCTCAGCTTCTGGAGGCCCTCTGGAACTTCTGGGAGGCCCATTTCCCCCCCCTCCCTGAACTTCCATGCAGGCCCTGAATTTACTTCTCATGCAAAACAGACCACGTGGAGACTCCTGTGAGGGGCAGGGGGGAGGGGAGGGGCCAGCCAGGGGTGGGATTTGGAGGGTCTCTGAACCAGCCAGAACGTTAGCTACACGTTAGCTACAGGTTCTCCTGAACCCGGGCGAATCCATAGCAGCCCACTCCTGTATATTAATTCTAAAATGACTTTTTAAAATAAGGGCAAAGACATGAACTTGCAGAGAGTGACTGGCCCAAGGTCTCCCAGCTGGCTTTCATGCTTAAGGCAAGACTTGAACTCACAGTCTCCCACTTTCTAGTATGGTGCCTTAAGCAATAGACCCAGGATGGCAAACCTATGGCACATGTGCCACAGGTGGCACGCGGAGCCATTTGTCAGGGCACGCGAGGCGTTGCCATGTCAGTTGGCCAGAGTGCGCATGCGCGTGCTGGCCAGCTGAGTTCAACACTTTTAAAAGCCATTTTTCGCCCTCCCCAGGGTTCCCCCCCCCCCAAGGCCCTCCGGAGCTTCCCTGATGCCTCCGGAGAGCTTAAACAGGCCCTACGAGCAAATCGGAAGTGACTTAGGAGCAGGGGAGGCTGTTTTCGCCCTCCCCAGGCTCCTATAAAGCCTCTGAAGCCTGGGGAGGGCAAAAAAAGGATGCAAAATTGGGGGGAGCGCCTCTCATACACACATGCTCACTGAGGGGGGGTCGCACATTGTATTATGGGTGGGGCACACCCACGCAAGACCCCCCTGCGCTCCCCCCCTTATGGCATGTGAGCCAAAAGAGGTTCGCCATTGCTGCACTAGACCAAGCTGGCTGTTCTGAGATTACGGCTATCCTGGTGCGGCACATTCACTGCATTCTGCCCACTTTTGCAGTGGAAGTGAAAGAAAACCTTGGCAAATGCAAAATCAAGATAATTGAATCATATCTGTCCTGTATCTTAACTGCTTATCTATTCACTGAGGAATTTGTTTGTCCTCAAAGAGAGGATTCTTCCCTGCCCCCTTCCTCAGGCAACATCTCAAAGAACACAAAAAACTGAATGGCTTAGTTTCTGCCATTTTAGTTCTGATACAAGAGACTGAGGAAGTACCTTGAGACAGAAAAGGTTGCCTTTACAAAAAGCGCCCTGATACAATTGAATTTAGACATTATTCAAACCATGTGGCTCTTTCTTCCCCATGCAGCTGTAAACGATTAGATTTGATAATAATCTACCATGCCTCTTACCTGCCAAAAGCTGTACTAGAGATCTTTCTGTTTGGGCTGGAATAAAAAAAAAGATGCAGGAGATTTAATTGCCATAAATGTTCCCATTCCAATAATTCTGCAATATTGCTGAGTCATTAAAACATAATAAAACTATAACCTCAAAACTTCATGTTAGGCAGCAAGCTCACAGAATTTGGTGGATAGGCTCCTGAACCAGGTATGGAGGCCTGCACCACAGTTATCTGCTCATAATTAGACCCTTTTTACCTCAGGCTAAGGTAAATCAGATTTAAAGGATTATCACTTGGCTTCCAGACCTCGTGAAAGGATGAAGAAGGCCATCTAGTGATGCTTTCATAGCACATCAGAAGTGATGTGACCGACCCCTTTTAGGTTCAGTTTTTTTATTTTGGAGGAGTTAAAAATGGGGTGGCACTCTTGAAATCATTTAAAACCCTTTAAAATGCCCCCAAAATGCAAGACAATCTTGGGAGTAGGTCCCAATTGGCATGTTGTGTGGAGCTGCACCCTGTTCAGTTTCCCTCATTGTCCATTTTGAGAACAGGTAGCTACTGGGTAAGTTCAAGATGCAGAATAGATTGAGGGGAAGAAGGCGGGGCTTAGCAGTGAGAAGACGGAGTTTCAGGCTATTCCTGAAATTCCCCTATTCCGAAGGAATTTGGACGGGTCATTGGACCCTAGCTGTCCCGTAGAAGACAGTGAAAGGTGAGGGGAGATCCAGTGACCTCAGAGACGATCGCCAAGTCTCTGGGGGGCGTGGAATTAACCCCTCCTGCCAACTCCTTTTGGATTAGCTATATGCTAACCGAAACTGCAGGTTGCCCCTAAGAATGGTATGAATGGATTCAACTGGTAAGCTGATTTTATTACTCAAAGAGAGACGGTCCGCACTAAAATTTAAGCTAATTGGAACCAAAGAACAGAAGAATCTAGCGGCGAATTGGTCTTTTTTTTTTAATGGATTTATGGCTGGTGGTTACTCTTTCTTAAACGCTTTAAGGAATTCTTCAACATCTCCCCCTGACTCTTTCTAAGTGGGCTGTAAAACTAACGATCTGACACTTTTATTGCTTGGCTGTGTTGGTCTAAGATCAGATAAGATTGCACAGTTCCCAGCGTATTTTTACTTGCAAATATCTTAGAGTCTTTAATTACGACACAACATGGCGTCGAATTATATTTCCAAGGGCTCGCTTCATACACTTTTTTCTGCATTTCGAAAACTGTTTGATTCTTATCAAAGATTTGAAAAAAAATTGGATTATTTGACATTAAAACTTGAAGGAAAAGGTGAGAACGCTGAATGTTTGGATGTTCCTGAAACACAAATGAAAAATGTGAGAAATGATGTCTGTTCTATTTCGAAGGAAGGAAGAAACGCTATGCTGGAAAGGGGGAGAGCTAAAGAAACTACACTTTATGAAATATCATTGGCAGATTCCATAATTCCACCTTCGAGAATTAAAATTAATTTGAAAAGTTTAACTAGCTTGGGACAACATTACTATTTCATCAGAGACAATCTGAGCAAAAAGGTGCGAAGATATCCCTGTTTGGACTTGCTTATAAAAGCATTTGGTAAATCTATTCATCGAATGGCAATAGGACTGAGAAGGTTTTGCTATTGGAGAGACATAGGCTGACAGATGGAAGAATACAACTTAAAATTAGCTAAATCTAATTACTTTTATTTGTAATAGATATAGCTGAATAATAACTGATATTGATAGTAATGTATATAATGTGGAGTTGATATGATACATAATAATTGGATATGAGAAAGGAAGGTTAGAAATACTTTTGGACTATATATAAAGGTTATTAACTACAATAATTACCACTATTAAAAAATAAAATAAAATAAAATATATACAGTTAAATATTAATTAATATGGGGAAAATGTTATGATATATGATATAACTACATAAAGAAGGGAGAATGATAATAAACTACACTGCATGGAAGATGGACTTTTTGGTATTAAATATTATGGATGCTCAGCTAAAATAGGATATGAGGATTTGATGTTAATAGAGGATTTTGCAAACAAGTAAATGAAATGTCAGCATGTGGTTATGGACTAAATCTTTGGCATAGTTAAGGTTGAAGGATGTTTGAATAACTGTAGTTAACTAAAAGTGGAGGTATAATGATGGCAATATGGTAAACATTTGAGTTAAGATTTTTGAATTAATATGAATTAATGGAAGAGATGCACCAAAACACGTTGTAACCAGCTGATATACATTTTTTTATATATAATATATACCTGTGTTGTTTTTTCTTTTTTTTTCTTTTTTTGCTTTTTGTTTTTTGTTTTTTCTTCCCTGCCTTGTCCTTTGTTCTTTTTGTCTTTTTTGTCTTTTTTGTTGGTCTTTTTTTTTTTGATTTTGATTTTTTCTTTTCCCACTGGTCTGGGCATGTATTGTTTAAGAGTATTATTATTATTAATATTTTAAAATAATAATTACAGTCAAATGAAAATGGATATATGACGATGGTGATATGTATGAATATCTGAGTTAAAACACTTGAGTTAACATGAGTTATGTTTGTTGACTGTGGAGGAGATGTACGAAAGTTTATTTGTGATCGACTGATACACTTTCTATAGCATGTAAAGAAGGATGTTGTACTTGTTTTAAATTAAAAATTAAAATTTTTAAAATAATAATAATAATAAAAAAAAGATGCAGAATAGATTGATTGTGCTGTATCTATGGGGTTTTGCCTGATCAGACCAAATGTGTATCTAATCCAGCATCCTGTGCCTTTCCAGGTTTTTCTGGAAGCTAACAAACATCACTTCACTAGTTTCCTGCCACTCTTGCTTCCCAGTTTTTGGCAGTCAAGAGTCATTATATTTTTGCTTCCGAAGAAAACATGTTGCCCTCATAACTGATTGTCATGGATGATTTTATCCTCCATGAATTTTATTCCATTTTAAAGCTATTATCATTAACATCATCGTAACATATAGCAATGACTTCGATAATTAATGTGCAAAGCAACTTTTTAAAAAATGATCAACGGAATAAAATTCATCATTGAAAGGCACTAAACAATAAGAGAGCATTTATATTTTATATTTTAAATCTGTTACACATAGCTCCATGGTGATTTTAAAAAATTGGATTACTGATTTCTGAAATGGGAAATTAAAACTGCCAAAAGAGGTTTGGAATCTTTCTTTAATTCAGGGATTTATTTTTTTTTAATATTGAGGTGTGCATTTTATCATTGTATTCTTCTTTTATTCTCATTTTTGTTATTGTTAGCTACCGAGTTCACTGTTATTTTGGATAGAAATATGGGTGCAAGATAAAAACTGAGAAAGAAGGGTGGTTAAGAAATATGAAATATGAATACACATATACATTAAAAACAACATTTGGAAGGTTATTATTTGATGGAACTGAGAATAATGGTGGGAATGGCATCATTATTCATAGGTTGGTGGCAAAGGAACAGTAACAGAACAATTATTAAAATAAACCTCAGTATAAAATGGAAGAAAAAGAGCGAACAATGCAGACTCTGCTCCACTATGGGGGGGAAAGTAATGTTTTTTCTGTCAATAAATGATCAGAGTTAATTCATAAATGAGAATCTCAAATAATCAGAATCTTCCAGGCTCAGACTGGATTCATTATGGTAATAATTGAAATTCAGGGGAGCACAGAAACTCTGGTTGCTGTCCAATGACTGAGCATAAGATAGGTATAAAAAAGGGCAAATGGTGAAATCATATCAATAATGGCAGTCTCATCCCAAGGCACAAAATCTTACAGTTTTCCCTAAACTTAGTCACGGACTGAAACTGGAATTTCTATGCACAAGAGAGAGAGAAAAGACAGATAAAACCTATAATTCTGTCATGTTCCTTCCTATTAACTATTTGAAAGGCTGTTACAATTACATGGATGAGGGGAAAAAGACCAATCACTCTATATTCACATAAAGCATGTGGGAGGAGGATACTGTCCTTAACAGAAATAGCAAATAGTGACTCATTTTTCAGTGCCGCAGTAAACACCAGTCTTTTTAGTGTTGTTCCAGCATTAAGTACAGTATAAAGTAACTGAGCTTCAACTTAAGTCTTTGGCAGTATTCAGTGTGGGGATAAGAAGCTGACATCTTACACCAGGGGTCAGCAACCCACGGCTCTGGAGCCACATGTGGTTCTTTTATCCTCTGTTGTGGCTCCCTGTCACCAATTGGCACCACAATTTTGAGAGGAGCTTCTGGGGGTTTTGGGGGGGAGGAAGAGCAGAGCGCATCATGAGGAGACTCTATGGCAAGGTGTGGGTTTTCTGGTCAGCTCCACAATTGATAAGGCTTTTGGTTAGGACAGGTAGAGGAAAAAATATGCTGTGCTAGGAGGGGACTCTATGGTGAGGAAATGGGACTTTCAGTTGGCTCCAGAATTGAATAGGGGACTTCTGGTTAAGACCTTTGTGGCTCTTTGGAGTGTTTAAGGTTGCCAACCCCTGCCTTACACAAACCCAGTAGCTGAGAACACACATGTATGTAGCCATTGATACACATGTATGTACTGTAGACTACATATATTCAGAAACCCCAAAGCTTGAATCAAATCAATAAGGCCAACTTTTGATTGGCTAGATATACTGGTTTATTTCTCAAAACTGTTGAGGCACTAGTGCTTTACTCAGTGATAAAAAAGTATCCTTTCAAAAGAGCCCATCCTTTTAACAGCAAGAAATAGATTTTGCTTACTAAATTATAAAGTGAATAACCAACTTCTACTGAGTGTCTCTCAAAAGGGCCTTAAAACTGAGATCTCATTGCGATGCAAAGCATTCAGTGAAAAGGCTTGACTCTACAATGTCTACGTAGAAGCAAGGACAATTAGATTTAATGAGACTAACTATCATGAAAGTGTGTGTAGTCCTGTAACAATAAAATAATCTGTTAACTACCATCATTGTAAAAGGGCATCTTACCCTGGCAAAGCTTGTTTCACTAAACAAACAAACAAACCAGAGATAGCTGTATATAATCATTCCTAAAATTCTTTTCAGCAGATTCTCAGTGAAGTTTCATTGGGTTTACTCACCTGTTGGCTTTTAGGTTTTTCAGTCTGGCTTCCAGATCATTAAGGAGGTTGATTTTCTTGCAGCACTGGGTGCAGTAGACATCTAAGAGCTCACTGTTATAGATATGCCTCATTTTCCGTGGGGTCTGACCAGCACTGTTGGTAGAAAGACAGCGAGCTACTAAATTAGATCCTACAGGCATTATGGGGTCAAGCTAAGTTCTGGTTGTTTTTGTTCTATTTTCACATGAAACTCTGTATATTGCTCCTTACAGCCATAAATAGAGAAGTTGCTTTTTAAAATCCCATTATTCAAAGATTTACAGGCATTTCCTTACTCTCAGAATGCTCCTGATGTCTATGCTACATATTCTATATACATTCCCTTAATCCAAAGGGAAGACTTGCAACCAAAATATCTCTCTTCAAGCATATAGTGATTATCAATTAAACTTTTATTATTTATATCAGTTTTTTTAAGTGCACTTCAGAATTAATAGTGGTGATATTCCTTTAAGGAAGATTATCCAGGTAGCCAGCCTCTGGGAACAACCCACTTCCTTCACTACATCAATTCTCTCTCAGGAGGAAAAAATGGGAAGAAAAATATTGTGAAAACTAAACTGTCCTCCATACGGAAGGAGGAAGAATGGCTCTGACTTGCCACTATTTTTCTCAATGTCAGTTCTGCTCACAGGCATGAGTAGAGCTTTCTAGATCAGTCTTTCTCAATCTTGGCCACTTCAAGACATGTGGACTTCTGGGAGTTGAAACTCGCTGTGTCACGTGATGTTTCATGTTTTTCCCATCTGTGGAGCTTGGGTGGACGTGGCCTGTGTGTGATACATCCCATCCACAGACCATCAGTTTGATACCCCTGTTCTACATCCTCAGACAAACCCTTCAGCTGCCCACCTCCCCCAGCCCTTAATAATGAGAGAGATCTGGTGTTGAGCACTTTCCTCACCCAGCACCAATTGAAGACAGCTGGAGTAAAGGGGTAGGGGGAGTTATAGTTGCATCTTTTGTCTCTGGGAAGCCTAGGAGTCTCATATCCTTGCAGGCTCTGAGGTAGCTAATTCCTGCTTTTGACTACCCATACATTGTTAATCCAATTTATCTGGTGAACCTGAGGAAAAAAATACTGTACAAATTTCCACATAAGCAATAACAATTTCCAATACTTTAACAAGACTAAAGATTCCATACTGAATTATCTTGCTATTCAGACTTTCCATTAGTGTCTTTCATTAAAAATCATACATATGAAAGTATTTTCCATGCCAACCTGCAATATTATTATTGTTCTTGTTGTTGTTGTGTTGTTAGTAGTAGTATCTATATATATATATAAATGACTTTATGTGTCTGTGTATGTTCCAACATAACTCTGGAACGCCTCAAGCAATTTCAACCAAACTTGGTACAGAGATTACTTACTCTCTGGAAACAAGTACTGTGGTGGTAAGACACCCCTAACATCCCTTAGAGGGGTGTTCTGTTAAGATATAGCCTGTTGTGCCTTCAAATGACTTCTACCAT